CCCTAGAAAACATTTAAGGAGCATTCCCAGAGGGTCCGCAGGAAAATCTGAACGCGCCCACACCACGCAGGCACGGTGGCGGATGCCGCACGTTCTGGCCGCGAGTTGTGCGGTGCAGTATGAGCTATGCGGTGCACGCTATGTGGTAGAAGCTATGTTCGGAAACTGGAACGTATACATTACCAGTGGCGGGCTGTTTTTCAATCCCAGGATTTCTTGAGGGTCGAGGACGACGCTGGGGTGGTGTGGTGTATATTTTTGTTCCCCGATGTCCTGGGGAAACAGCGAAACATGTATACACCAGGGTCCCGTATACACCAGGATCCGCTCTCCAGTGCAAATTCTGATGCAGGGCCGGAAGAAGCGTCGGTGTATAGAGTTCGATTCCCTATATGTCGTGCAAGCTGTGGTGTGCAAGCTGTGTGGCGTAAGCTCCGCACGTGGGGCGCTCATGAGCGCCCTCGGGGCGGCACGGGGGGGGCAGCGCGGCGCGACCTCGGCGGACACGCCCGGCGCACGGGAAGCCCACAAGCGCCCACGAGGCCTATGATGTCCCAGCCTACTTCAGGCTTGTGGAGGACGAGCAATGGAGAGGGAACATGTTGCCACAGACTTCCCATATGTCTAAAACATGTCTTAAACATGTCTTGAGCATGCAACAAAAACAAGCTTATAACATGTTTAGAGCATTTTACCTACATTTTTAACACATGTTACATTCAATGACAGGACTGCTAGGGTGTCCATTGTTCGTGGCATCCACAACTTTAGCCTTGATCGCCAGAACGAATTTCGAGTACCAAGGAAGCACCGACACTGGAGGGGTTTCACGCGTCGGGCCCTGGGAGGCGATGCTCGTTCGGCACCGTTTCGATACTCTTCTGGGGGCTCGAACTCGTTCCTGGGACGTGGCCCCCACGTGCGATGGGAGTACCATAACACGAGGCGGCAGCCTTGAACAACCCCGGCGGACCCGTGCAGCGCACGTGGCGCCCACAGACGCCCACGGGGCGGCACGGGCGGCAGCGATACGCAGCTTCGGCGGGCCCTCCCAGCGCCCAAGGCGCCCACGAGCGGCCGACGAGGCCGCACGGAGCGGCAACGGGGGGAAGCTTCGGCGAGCACGTCCTGATACGTAAAGGGCTGAATAACACGCAGGCACGCACGCACACACACACACACACCCTTAGGTAGACGCGCTTCATTTTGGTAAAGGAGCAAACACCTCTTAATGCCAGCATGTTTCACGAGTTCTGTTGGATGCCAGTGGCCAGTTGCCAGGTACTGATGGCAGCAACGCTTGGGATTTGTAGTATACCCTCGTCGGCGTTGCAATACTGTATTCGAAGTAATACGATATCTGATATGGTGTTTTTGATGATGTTAGTAGTAGTAGTAGTAGTAGTAGTAGTAGTAGTAGTAGTAGTAGTAGTAGTAGTAGTAGTAGTTGTAGTTGTAGTAGTAGTAGTAGTAGTAGTAGTAGTAGTAGTAGTAGTAGTAGTCGTAGTAGTAGTAGTAGTAGTAGTAGTAGTAGTAGTAGTAGTAGTAGTAGTTTAGTAGTAGCAGTAGTAGTAGTAGTAGCAGTAGTCGTAGCAGTAGTCGTAGTAGTAGTAGTAGTAGTAGTAGTAGTAGTAGGAGTAGTAGTGGCAGTAGTAATCGTAGTGTTATTATTATGAGTAGTAGTAGTAGTCGTAGTAGTAGTAGTAGTAGTAGTAGTAGCAGTAGTAGTAGTGGTGGTAGTAGTAGTAGTAGTAGTAGTAGTAATAGTAGTAGTAGTAGTAGTAAGTAGTCGTCGTAGTATTGTAGTAGTAGTAGTAGTAGTAGTAGTAGTAGTAGTAGTAGTAGTAGTAGTAGTAGTAGTATTAGTAGTAGTAGAAGTAGCAGTAGTACTAGTAGTAGTAGTAGTAGTAGTAGTAGTAGTAGTAGTAGTAGAAGTAGTCGTAGTAGTAGTAGTAGTAGTAGTAGTAGTAGTAGTCGTAGAAGGAGGAGGAGGGGTAGTAGTCGTACACGTAGTCGTACACGTAGTCGTAGTCGTAGTCGTATTAGTAGTAGTAGTAGTAGTAGTAGTAGTAGTAGTAGTAGTAGTAGCCGAAGTAGTCGTAGTAGTAGTCGTAGTAGTCGTAGTCGTAGTCGTAGTCGTAGTAGTAGTCGTAGTAGTAGTAGTAGTAGTAGTAGTAGTAGTATTTGTAGTGGTGGTGGTGGTGGTGGTGGAGGTGGTAGTAGTAGTAGTAGTAGTCGTAGTCGTCGTCGTAGTGGTAGTGGTGGTCTGTGTAATGGTAGTAGTAATGGTGGTAGTGATTGTGGTGGTGGTAGCACTAGTCGAAGTAGTCGTAGTAGCCGTTGTAGTCGATGCGGTAGTAGTACTCGTACTAGTAGTGAGAGTAGTCGTAGTCGTAGTGGTAGTTGTGGTAGAGGAGTAGTCGTAGTCGTAGTGGTAGTAGTGGTTGCAGTAGTAGAGGTCGTAGTAGTCGTAGTAGTAGTGGTCGTAGTAATAGTAGTAGTAGTAGTCGTAGTAGTAGTAGTAGCAGTAGTAGTAGTCGTGGTAGTAGTAGTAGTAGTAGCAGCAGCAGGAGTAGTAGTAGTAGTAGTAGTAGTAGTAGTAGCAGCAGGAGTAGGAAGAGAAGTAGTACTAGCAGTAGTAGTAGTGGTATTCAAAGTAGTAGTAGTTGTAGTCGTAGTAGTCGTAGTAGTTGTAGTAGTCGTAGTCGTAGTCGTAGTCGTAGTCGTAGTAGTAGTGTGTAGTAGTAGTAGTAGTAGTAGTAGTAGTAGTAGTCGTAGTAGTAGTAGTAGTAGTAGTAGTAGTTCTAGTTTCAGTAGTTGTGGTCGTAGTAGTCGTCATCGTAGTCGTAGTAGTAGTAGTAGTAGTAGTAGTAGTAGCAGCAGTAGTAGTAGTAGTAGAAGTAGTAGTAGTAGTGGTAGTAGTAGTAGTAGAAGTAGTAGTAGTCGTAGTAGTAGTAGTAGTAGTAGTAGTATTAGTTCGTAGTAGTAGTAGCAGT